TATCTATCTATCATTCTATCTATCGTTCTATCTATCGTTCTATCTATCTATCTATCTATCGTTCTATCTATTTATCTATCTATCTATCTAGCTATCATTATACGTTCTATCATTCTATCTATCGTTCTATCTAACTATCTATCTATCGTTCTATCTATCTATCTATTGTGTGTTTTATTTTTTTAATTTATAAATGAAATGTTATATAACATTTTATTTTTTATATTATACAGAGTACAAAGCTGTCACTTGGGTGCTATCTTAAGATGTAAAAAACTAAAAAGATACTAATATGTACACTTTAGGTACTAATATGTACTTTTAAAATACTACAGTAATATGCACCATTTATGGGGTAAATTCTGTACAATGATGTACCTTTTAGCTTTTTTACTGAGTACTGCCCCAGTGACAGCTTTGTACTTTTTTCTGAGCGGTGTGTGCATCTATTCTTCTTAATGTGTGTTTTTAAGATGAACCAAGCTATAGTTGTTCAGTCTGTATTTTTAGCTGTATATTAACAGCAGGTGTTGTTTACATTTCCATCCTGAAACAGACAGACAGGTTGAGTGACACAGGTCTGATCTGGCTCATGGTTAAACCTGAGAGTGTTTGTTTGAGAGTAAAAGCGCACATCCACACTCATAAACACATTCTCGCAGACATGTTTTCCAGTTACAAGATGTAAACATTCTGAAAACAAGATTTTTTTGTAAAGAATATATCATAATTTTTTAATATATATATATTTGTTTGTTTGTTTTTTTTAACTTGCTTTTTGCTAAAAAATTTTTTTTTTAAAGTTTACTAATGGGCTAAGAAATTTTTGCTAACTTCTAAATGGTATCTAACAAAAACAGCCATAGTGTTCATCAAAATACCATATAGGGATCCCTCAGTCATGAAAATCCTGGAAATAGTAAGAGATCCTAAAATTGGGATTTCCAAAACTGGAAAACTAAATAACACTTTTGTTTATGGACCAATTCTCACTATTAACTAGTAGTTTATTAGCATGTACATTACTAGCATATTAGCTGATTATTAAAGCACATGTAAATGCCTTATTCTGCATGACCATATTTCAGATCCCTTAACACTGCCCCATACCTAAACTTAACAACTACTGTACGTTATTAATTATTAATAAGCAGCAAATTAGGAGTTTAGGCAAAACTTGTAGTTGATAGTTATAGTGAGAATTGGCCCCTAAACTATATATAATTGTAAAATAAAAATAAAAAATTTTCAGGTACATTTTGGAAAATGATAGTATATTATACTATATGTATGTATTGTACAAACTATATAGCCTACTATATCCAGTAATCAAGTATGACTGGAAAAAAGCATAGAAAAATTGTGGAAATTGAATGGGATAGGATTATGTTTTGTTACTGCTACTTTCCTTCAAAATAAAAAAGAGAGAAAAAAAGTTTTACAATGATATTTTATTGGAAGCCATAGTAACGACAATGTGAGCTGTTATATTTAGCGCTGCACTCTGAATATTGCAAAACAGCCCTGTTACCATAGCAACATGAACACAGCAGAGCTGTCCTGTCATGCACGCACAAACAGACACATCACACATCGCGGCGTCATGCACCTGTCAATCTGATTGTGTTCGGATGTTGAACTGAAATCTCTGATTGGTTCTCACATTTTTGATAACGTCATCAAAGCACATTTGCTCTGCTGCACGCCTGCGTTTGTTATCTAACATTCCACCATCTCTCTCGCTCTCTCCTCTTCCCTGTGGAGCCCAACCACTTCCAAACTTGGCCAGTCCTGCACTGACTGTTTCCATGGAAACATATTCACTCATGGCAGGACTACAGTGAAAGGAAAAAAGCTGGCACTGCGAGTGTGTGTGTGTGTGTGTGTGTGTGTGTGTGCATTCCCATTACTTAGGATGGTCGGCCCTCTCCGCTTGACTGCGTCTCACACAAACAGAAATTCATCTTCCTTCACACATTTACCTTTTAAAGTGGGATGGAACGAACTACTATGAAGTGTTTTTCTGAGATCTGATTGGTGAATACATGCAAGGAAGAAAATGAGAAAGTGTGAAGACTTCTTTTATTGTACAAATTCAGAAAGTTTTTTGTTTAGCGTTAAGTTGGGGTTAAGTTATTGTATTTATAAATAGCTGTATATGAAAATAACACAAGTCTATATAATGTCTTCATTAGGTTCGTAAATGTGTGTGTTTGTATACATCAGGTTTTAGGATAGGATAGTAAAACCTAAAATCACTTACAATGCTGTCTTCAGTTTGATTCGATTTACAAACCTATGAGTTGATTCTTTTAGTGAATCATTCAGAAAGACTCACAAACTCTGGAGGAACCAGTTTGAATCATTCAGATGAATCCTACACTAAATAAACTGACTGAATCTATTAAAGCAGCTATTGATTCAGATGGATTCATTCGGTGAAGGATTCAGCATATGACTCACTTACTAAATGCATGTTATATCAAAAGCCTTGTGGAAAAAGAAATACACTTTAGCATACTTTTAATATAATTTATAATATACTGAAAAAACATGCTTAAGTGTGTACAGTTTACAGTAATTGCATGTTACAATTACATTTTTAATTTATATTAAATGCAGTTAGTTGCTCTTAAAAGTGCAAAGTGACCCACGTAGTAGGACTTAAGTACATCTTTGTATTTATTTTCATAATTATTTGGTTAAAGTGTACTGCCGAATGTACTGACAAGCATTTATGGTAAACTAAAATATCCTTTAGTGTCATATTGAAACTTGCATGTCATGTATGTTAATATATTTGTAATTACACATTTGTAATGACGAAGTTGCAATGTAGTACATTTAAAATATTTAACCTATATTTCAATTAGCACACTACAGTTAAAATTATAATCAAATACTTTACTTAAGTCAACACATGTAAAATAAATGTACTTCTTTAAGTGCACTTATTTAAAAGTATACTTAAGTTTGTTAAGAAACATAGTCATGAATGTGGAAAAAGTAAAAAAGTTTGTTTTTGCTTTTAAATATATATTTTAGTCAAAAAAACATTTTTATTCTCCCTCTCTAGGTTGCTCCTGGCATGTACAATCAATGAAAGCAGTGATTTCATGCTGTCTGTCAGATTGCTAGACTGACGCTATGATTAGCATGCATCTTTAGCAGTGCACCTGACAGGCCACAGCGGGCGGCTATCTGTGCTAATCACTGTGATCAGACCACACACACACACACACACACACACACACAAGGCCTCGCTGAAACTGTAGAATAGCATAGTGACCTCGTTTTACAATTGTGACTGGCTAGTAGTGATGTAAGACGTTGCATAAGAGCCTATAATGTGACCAGGTTGCTCCCTTTGACAACTGGAGAGAGTCGAGCATCCACAGGGACAAGTCAGCATGCAGTTTGGTTATATATTTGTGTAAGCATGTGTGTGTGTGTGTGTGTGTGTGTGCATGTTCAATTTTGTATGTGTGTTAATTTGATTAGATCGTCGTCTTAAATGAGCTGTGTTTTTAGATGCAGGCTGATGTCTGGAGTTCCCGGAGCACTGAAGTTGTGCTGATTTTGTTGCTGTTTGGCTTGGTTATCGATTGTTTATTGTGTGTATTAGCGTCTGTTATATGACATCAGTCTGTCTGTGGTGGACTTGTTAAGGTCAGTGGTGTTTTTAAGGTGGACTTTTGTTGATCAGTGGCGTTTGTGGGGGATTTTTAGGTTATTGATGTTTGAAGTGGGTTTATTTTGGTCTGTCACTTGAGTTTTATTTTTGTCAGTGCTGTTTGTGCTTATAATAAATTATAATAATATAATAATTTTATAATAATAAATATAATATGCCATTTTAATTTAAATTAAATATGTAAATTTAATATAATATTTTATAACATATTTAAAAATCTTTTAATTTATTTATATTATATTTAAAAATATATAATTAATTTATTTAAATGTAATTAATTTTAAGTGTTCCTGTGGCTCAGTGGTAGAGCATTGCGTTAGCAGCGCAAAAGGTCGTGGGTTCGATTCCCAGGAAACACACATGCTGGTAAAAAAATGTATAGACTGAATGCACTGTAAGTCGCTTTGGATAAAAGTGTTTGCTTAAATGCATAAATTATACAAATATTAAATTAATTAATTAATTAAACTAAACCATTACTTGAAGTAAAAGCATTTCTCTAAATAAGCTAAAACTAAAAACTATAATTTAATAAATAATATAGACACATTTGGAAAAAAGACCAAACAAAACGACTCAAACTTGATTTAAAATTCAAATTAAAGCAGAAACAAAAAATCCCAATTTCATTGGTAGTTGTAATGGTGTTTAGAAACTCCAAACACCTAAAAGAATGAGTATTTTCATTATGTGATATAAAATGACCAAATGCATGTTACAAAGAAATGATGCGCCAAATGATCTTTCTAGAGTTTTAAGTTGTCGCTCTGTGAGAAACTGAAAGAATGGTCTTGATGTGTCTGTCTCTTTCGTCTCTCCAGCACTGCCAGTAACTCAAGCCGGAGTTCCCCTGCCTGCTCTCCGGTTCTGCGGAAGCGCTGTCGATCTCCCATTCTGCAGAACGTCGAGACGGACACCATGGTGGAGAAAGGCTCAGAGCAGTCCGACACCTCCAAGTCCCCCTCCACCCCTGAGCAGCTGGTCACTCGCACCTTCTCCGGCCTGTGCTGTTTTTGTGTGTGTGTGTGTGTGTGTGTGTGTGTGTGTGTGTAAACCATGACACCTTTTTTTAGGATCCAATGATGAATAGAAAGTTCAAAGGAACAACATTTATTTGAAAAATAATAATTATAAAATCTTTACTGTCACTTTTGTGCAATGTAATGCATCCTTACTGAATAAAAGTATTAGTTTTTCAAACAAAAAAAAAACACACATTTGAATGAGAGTCTCTCTTTTCTTTACAAATCCTCTTTTTGTGCTTCTAATCCGTAAATGGCGTTTTGTTTTGTCTCCGCGTTCGTCACTAATCACGCAACGCCGACGTCTTACGTCATCCGCCGGAACGGCTTCCGCGTATGTCAGTCAGCGGAAGTGAGAACTTCTGCTACTGTGAAGGAGCGAGGAGCAAAGGAGCGAGGAGACATAGGGGAATCCGTGAAGAAAGTCTTTATTTACAACAAGGCGCACACACACGTAGCAGAGGGTATAGAGGAACAATACCAGACACTAGACACGGAGAAACACAGGGCTTAAGAACTTAGAACCAAATGAGACACACCTGGAATAAATCACATCATAAACATAGGAAACACCTGGGAACAATGAACATAATCAGACATGGGAGAAACTAGATCAGGGGTGGCGAACATCGGTCCTGGAGAGCCGCAGCCCTGCAGAGTTTTGCTTCAACCCTAATCAAACACACCTGAATAAGCTAATCAAGGTCTGAACGGTTACTAGGAAGCTACAGGCAGGTGAGTTTTAATTAGGGTTGGAGCTGAACTCTCCAGGACCGGAGTTCGCCACCCCTGAACTAGATCATGGGGCATGTGGGGAAGGAAAACACAAGACACGGAACAAAACACAACAAAGTCAGAAGCACAGGACTGACACATTGTGATTAACCAATCAGATTTGAAGAACCAGTTTATAGTTTTTGTGAAGTTTAGGCTTACAATCAGTGTTTGGTGCTTGTACATCAGTGTCATTCATCTATCATTTCCTCTGATTTTAGAGATTACTCATGGTTAAGGTTAGGTTTAGGTGTAGGGATATGGTCAAGACTACATTTTGGATTAAAATGTTGTTCCAGGGTCAACAAAATATGTTGACCTAGGAATACATCTAACTCAGCAAAAACAGGACGTGCTGCGCCCTCTATAGGACCAGTGACTAGTCGACGTCAAGCTTAAAGCGTCATGGCAGAGCATTGAAGTCGACTAGTCGATTAGTCGGTGCAACCCCTAATATATATATTACACTTTTAAATTAAATTACAATAAAATACAATACAATGAAATAAATAAATAAAAATAAATAAATACATAAACTACATTAATTATTTTAAATATAATTTGGGTTACAAACATAAGACAGTAAAATATATTAAATAATTTTAAATAAGCATTGTCCAGTTAGTCCAGTTAGGAACATGTCGTAACTACACCATCTGGTCCCATCATTTTTGAATGTCTATTGGTAGACATTCAAAAGTAGTGGTATATTCTGCTGTGGTGCTCATAGATAGCTTTATATAGGTATTATAGACCTTCTTGATGGGAACACACGATACCTTCAAATGGCATAATTTCCTGAGAATATCTCGAAGACATCTGTCATATTTCTTTAAAATAATTTATTAATTTTCAGTACAAACTAAAATCAAGCCAAACAGCGGATGATTTGTTCATGTAGCTTTCAATGCCAACTCAAAAATCACATTCACATGTGAGAATAATTGCATGAATGAATGAATGAATGAACGGGTGTCATTAAACAGGTGGCTGAATGAATGGGGAGATGATGTGTAATGATTTGTAATAATAAATGCAGTGCACCGAGTGCAGACTAGCTCACATCATCATTCTGTCTGTCTGTCTCATTTCAACTGTTATAGTCGCTTGTTCTGCCTGTTTCCTTTCATTTTTCACACTCACTGTACTGTTTCTTTCTAGAGTTTGATACTTTTGCTGATGTCAGATAAAATGTCTTTGATCTAATCTTGACTATCATGTTCTTCTCGCTGTTTGTTGTTGTTCTGATTTGTGTGCCGTTTTCTGATTTCTGTTTTTCTCCTCGATGCATGCTAGTCTCACAAGCGACTTTCCAAAGTAAGCATTTCTCTCTTCTGTTCTGTAGTCACTCAGTCTCTCACTCTGTGTATCTGTATTCCTGCTCCAGTGGCCGTTCTGTAGTCTGTTTCGGTGTTATTGATGTGTCTTGTCTGACTCTGTCTGTTTGTGTGAATGCAAGTGTGTGTCCAAGTGTTTGTTTAAACAAATACACGCATTGACTCATTTCTCTCGTTAGCAGGCATATTTGTCACTTATGATTCTGCAGAATAGTATGATAATCGGTTAAAGAGATAAAGTAAGAAGTGTTTGACTTAGGGCTGCATGATGATTGTTAAACTGATTACTTAAAAAAAAAAAAAAAAAAACAGAATTATTGTACTTTACAAAAGCACCAATCATGAGAATGCCAACTCATATGCAGGGTCATCTAATTTATTATATGTGACCCTGAAGCACAAAAGCAGTCTTAAGTCACTGGGGTATATTTGTAGCACATTGTATGTGTCAAAATTATTGATTTTTCTTTTATGCCAAAAATCATTAGGATATTAAGTAAAGATCATGTTCCATGAGGATATTTTGTAAATTTCCTACTGTAAATATATCAAAACTTCGTTTTTGATTAGTAATATGCATTGCTAAGGACTTCATTTGGACAACTTTAAAGGCGATTTTCTCAATATTTAGTTTTTTTTTGCACCCTCAGATTCCAGATTTTCAAATAGTTGTATCATTAAACCATGTATTAAACCATACATCAATGGAAAGCTTATTAATTCAGCTTTCAGATGATGTATAAATCTCAATTTTGAAAAATTGACACTTAAGACTGGTTTTGTGGTCCAGGGTCACATATTTGTCATATACATTAACCCACGCTATATTATGAAAACTAGTAAAACCTTTAGAAAATTAAAGTGAAATTCCTAATTCCAAATTCTGTTGTTTTATTATTTTTTTATTTATTAATTAAAACAACAAAAAAGACTTTGTATTGTGGCACAGAGGTTGCTTAAGCGCATTTATTCAGCGACCGCAATCGCAAACAACATAGTCAAGACTGACGCTTGCATTTATTATAGATTGTCACTGAGATGATATGCGCACAGATTTAGTTGCAAAAAGTTGTCAGGTTGGGAATATTAAGCCACACTTGAGAAGAAAATGTATCCATTTAAGAGAAAAGCTCTTATTGGGGGATTTAAACACTTGACATCTGGCAACCCCAAGCATGAATGCTCATGGAGGTTTGTTACCAATTACCAAAAATAATGGAAATGTCAAACGGAAAAAAAAGGCCACTTTCGAAGATGATTAAGAGAAGAAGAAATCGTGGTTATTAGTCATGCAGCTATAATTTGACTGGTCATGTGATTTCACCATGAGAGGACCAGCCTCGTGTATATGAAATAGATTTTACTAGGTGATTTTGCTACACTGATATGATTATTCATCTTTTGTAACTGCATACATTTATTTGAATTAAACATTTGACCTGCAGGCTTTTAGCAGTTTCAGTCTATGTGTCTTTTCATTGATCACATCAGAGTGCCGTGTGATGAATCGGCTGGATAACCGACAGTGGTAGTCCCATGAGTCCCCTGTCTTTCCAGACAGATGATGATTTATCTCTGTTGATTTCCAACAGAGGGAATTCCCAACCCAGGAATTGCCTGACTATGCTTCCTGTAATCAATAAAGTATTAATCAATAATGTAGTAAAAGAGTGCGTATATCTTTAAATTGTTAATCAATGCCATGCAGAACAAAGCATAAGGCTTCCTTTATTTCTTTATCTGTGAAGCACATGAGATCAACAGAGCTTGCCGTTAACATGTTGCTATGCTAATGTCTTGAAGACTATAATATAGCACCTGCAAACCTACATTAAATGTGCATTTTAAGTAGTTTTAATTCAAATTATTTGTAGATTGGATTTAGTTAGAATACTTAAATGAATTTGTTTGGCATATATTGATGATTTATGACATTTTTCTCAACTCTACCATATTGGATTGGATTGGATTGCATTGGATTTGTTTATTAAAGACATTGCTCTTGACTCCATTTATTTATTTACTTATGTAGCAATAAAGCCTTGTAATTAGGCTAAAATAATGCATATTACAAGACTTCAAAATGTTACTGTCTCTTTGGAGCACAGGAGTGTGTTTAAAATGCTTTTAGGTAGGCAGCTTATTAGGTTTTTGGTAGTAAAGCATGCTAGCAACACCAAGGTTATGGGTTCGAGAACACGCATGCATTCTAAGTCACATTGGATAACAGAATTTTGGATGCATTAAAAGTCCAGTTTCGCCTTGTTTTTTTTTTCATTCTGTTTTCATTGCTTTACAGTATGACAGATTAAACCTGATTAAAGTAAGCATTTCATGTTGTTCTTCATTTGACCCCTGACCCTTAAACTAAGGCTATCTTAAGTGTTAGTTCATACATGTAGCACCCCTCAACTATTCTTCCAATCCCTTCCTCACCTGTCTCTCTCTCTCTCTCTCTCTCTCTCTCTGTCCACATGTACACACGAGAGACCTGTCTCACACCTCTCTTGAGTTTAGATCAGATTAGCCTACATTAAACCATCCAATCCCTGAGCCTTGATGGAATAGACCAGTATGTGTGTTAGCAGGTCTGTGTGAGTTGATCTATAGGCTTTAAAGGGTCATGAACGAGACACAACTAGGGCTCTGTGCTAGCTAATCTGTCAAAGTAGCACACACACACACACACACACACACACACACACACACAGCATGTTTGGGGTAGTAGGCTAATTGAATGGCTTATCGGCTGACACACACTTCTTGTCATTTTGTCTGCTCACTTTAACCTAGACTATAAAACAAGGGAGCCCATTATGTGTCGTACCTCTTCAAACTAATATAGCATCAGAGTTTGTCCCCGCCTTAAGTTATTTGCTTTAAGTTTCTTTTCATTTAGGTGGTGGTCTGTAGTAAAGAAGATATGTTTATGTTAATCAAGATAAGTTTATCACTATAATGCAGACTGTTTTTGTTCTATCTCACAAATAACTTTTTTTTGTTGACGTTGAAATTGTTTTCCATGTCTTCCCGAGTTGTTTACTAGGCCTGTAATCATGCCTTCAATAACCCCATGCAATGATTTCAATGAATGCAAATTTATGTCCTCTGTTGATGTGCATCCGTGTACAAGCAGGAAGTTTGGGTGGGATATATCAAAGGGTTTGTCCTTTTAGTTCACGTTTAGACTAGAAAGCCATATTGCGAGATAAAAAGTGCCACAGTGCAGTATAAAATCACAGCGATGAAATATAAAGTCACTTTGAGAGATAAACAGTCATAATTATGAGAAATAAAGTCACTTTGTGATATGTAATGTATGAATTACAAGAAATAAAGTCACATTGTGTAATATAATGTCATAATTACAAGAAATAAAATCACATTGCAAGATATGTCATAATTCTGAGAAATAAAGTCAATCTGTGAAATGTGTCATAATTAAAAGAAATAAAGTCACTTTGCACAGATATAAAGTCATAGTTACGAGAAATAAAGTCACTGCACAGATATAAAGTCATAGTTACGAGAAATAAACTCACTGCACAGATATAAAGTCATAGTTACGAGAAATAAAGTCACTGCACAGATATAAAGTCATAGTTAAGAAATAAAGTCACTTTGCACAGATATAAAGTCATAGTTACGAGAAATAAAGTCACTGCACAGATATAAAGTCATAGTTACGAGAAATAAAGTCACTGCACAGATATAAAGTCATAGTTACGAGAAATAAAGTCACTGCACAGATATGAAGTCATAGTTAAGAGAAATAAAGTCACATTGCTATTTGTCAATTATGAGAAATGAAGTCACATTGTGGGATATAATGTCATAATTATGAGAAATAAAATCACATGACAATTTACAGTATAATGCCATAATTACAAGAAAAAGTCACTGCGAGATGAAAAGTGACACTTTGAGGTAAAAGATCACAGCGATGAAATATAAAGTCACTTTGCAAAATAGAAAATTCATAATTACAAGAAATAAAGTCACTTTGCAGTATATAATGTCATAACTACGAGAAATAAAGTCAAATTGTGAGATGTCAGTTACGAGAAATGAAGTCACATTGTGAAATATGTCATAATTATGAGAAATAAAGTCACTGTGCGCAGATATAAAGTCATAATTACAAAAAAATGAATTCACATTGCAACTTACAGTATAATGCCATAATTACAAGAAATAAAGTCACTGCACAGATATAAAGTCATAATTACGAGAAATAAACTCACATTGTAGTATATAATTTCATATTTATGAGAAATTATGAGAAAGGTCAAATTGTGAGATCTAATGTTATAATTAGGAGAAATAAATATGATGATATGTAATGTCTTTATTACGAGAAATAAAGTCATTTTGCGAAATATAACATCATAATTATGAGAAATAAAGCAACATTGCAATATGCAATGCTATAATTACGAGAAATAAAGTCACATTGCGAGATATGTTATAAGAAATAAAGTCACATTGCAATATATAATGTCATGACTGCGAGAAATAAAGTCACATTGCGAGATATAACGTTATAATTACGAGAAATGGTTTTAAGGGTCTTTTCAAGGGAATTTTTGGCCTCAGTGAAACAACATTCAGGCTCATCTAGACTGAGCTAGACTGTGTTGGGTTATAAATAGAGAGCGGTATTGATGTCAGTTCACCCCTGTATACAAACACCCCCTTAAAAGTGTCTTTAAGTTTCTATTTTGGTTTATGCAAGTGTGAATTTGTCTTTTTCCCATGACGTATCAGCTTTGAAACTGCTCATTTAACCATCTATCTTTGTTTCACACTATTTGTGGAAAGAACAAATGATGTATGCGTGTGTAATTGTCCGGTGAAGGGAAATGTCAGTCTAGCAGACTTTACCAGCTGCCACATGACAGGCCCTCGGCCAACCCTCACAGTCTGTAAATATACACTCGCTGTGAGGGGCGTATGCAAATAATATTCTTCATAGCCACTGTTTTGCTCTCCTTAATATAGTCATTTTCTTTTCCCTCTCTTTCAGAAAACCCAGAGCTGGTACAACGTAAGTCACACTTTCTATTAATAATATGTGTGTGTATGTGTGTGTGTGTGTGTGTGTGTGTGTGTGTGTGTTTATGCTTGTACTAATGGTTGTGTGTCCACCTACCTTGAAATATAAACAGCCATCAGTGTCACCATACAGTGCATTCTTTGTGTTTCTGAAACATGACATGTCTTGGGCAAGGGAACAGGATAATTTAATTAAATGTAATAATTAAATCTAATTTTCACTTAATATATATATATATATATATATATATATAATTTAGTTATTGTTTATAATAGGTATTATGTTTGGAATTTTTAAGTATATAATTACTTGTGTATTTGTGTGTCAGATGTGAACATTGACAATGTTTGGTCATCAAACAGTAGAGTTCTTCTGTTGTCTTACTGTAATGATTTACAGATTTGTTGCTCTTTCCTCTGACATTCATCAGTTTGGCTGCAAATATTATCTGACTCATGATCTTGTTATCAATTTCCTCATAGTTTACGTCTGTGTGTCAACGTGACTGATAACAACCATCTGCTTCCTTCACATTGTTGTGTATCACAGAGTGTCAGAATTTGAATGTTTCTAAAATGTCAAGTTTAAAATTCAGTATTATCTTACATATTTTGGCATACAAAATTCTCTAAAGAATTACATATTTCATATTACATATTCCCATTAAAATTGCATATTTAAATATGAATATTTGAATATATATTACACGGCACTCTGAGGTGCATGCCTAAAATAACTATATTATCATGGTAATGTTTTATACTTTAAATACTTCAGGGTATATATTTAATGTTGTATAATTAATTATCATTATAGCAATACAAATAAGATTTTCTCTTCAAGTGTTGAATTCTATTTAGACCATTAGCCACAAGAGACCGTCGTTTTACACTAATCTTTCAATCACGTTTCATTCCACAATATCTTCCCACCAGGGTTTGAAATTAACACCCGCCAACCCGCCAAATGCGGGTAAAAATCAGCTGTGGCGGGTAACGCTGTCAAATCACTAGCCAATTTGGCGGGTTACTTTTCGTAAGTTATATTCACTAATTAATTTCTTGGGGAAGTTCATGCAAGCCAAATCTGCGCAGGTTTAGCGCAAATACTGAACTCGTGAGACATCATGACATTATC